CCTCACAGTGACTCATGTTAGAATACTGATGAGGGGTTACTAAGCCTTACTCGTATGGCTCGGATGCATCATGCAACCTGCTAGACAACACCAGCATTTGTCTTCTGTCCTTACATAAACACACCCATGCTGCTTGTCTGTCATGTCTGCTGTTCAGACATCTATCCAGTGGGCCCTGTTAATAGGCATTCGAAAGGTATCACAGCCTCTGAAATTGCTTAAGCCCTGAAGGTAATTGATGGTGCTGTGAAAACCATTCCCAGTTCAGCCACTCGCTATCAACGGGCATAGGGTAGGTGACTGCTGCATGGAGATATCCCAGCAATGTTGTTTCATTTAGCCCAAACTTTGACAGAAATCTTCTTTAAAGAGTATTTGCTTTTCAAAATCATTTAAAATGCAAACCTCAGATCAGTATACATGCCCTTAGTGGTGTGACTGCCTCCCTCAGGAAGTGAGGAGCATATTGCGTCAAGTGATTACAACTGCAAATACTCTTAATTAATTAAATTAAATTAAAATTAAAGTTAAAATGATGAGACTAAAACAAAGACAATCTAATTAAGGCAAACCACATTACTATTAGACCTATGTAGAGTTAAATTTGGATGCTATTTCCCATTGGAAAACAAAAACAAAAACGCCACTTGTATTTTAATTCACTTTAGATATGAATGTGTATGTCCAGTGCATTTACAGTGCTATGTTGTGTTTCTACAGTTCTTTAATGCAGTATCTTTTTGTGTATAGCATTAACTGATATGGTGAGTGATTTGTTATAAATCCTTGTGCTGGTGAGCACTTTAAATGTAGCCACGTTGGCAAAACAACAACATTACAGTCATGTATGTCCCAGTGACGCACACAGATGACCTGCACACACAATATGACATCTGTTCACAATCAGGCAGGTGTGTACACATGCGCGGATACAGAGACTGAGGGTAGTTCAGGAGCGTCAAAACATTCTAATCCAGTTTTTCTTAGGGGCACACAAGAGAAGCTCTGTTACCTGGTCAGCACTTGGAAATCCTTGGACTTATTATAACACGTTTCCTCTGGACCGAACGGCAACATAGACCACAGGATAGTGGATTAACTTTAATCCTATCAGTGTTTCTTATGTGGGACCTTACTAGGCAGCACCTGCAATACAACTTACACATCTGGGCCACTTCATGACCAGGCTGGTCAGGCTTCTGCTGGTAACCACATTACCGGGTCTCCATCATGGCCACAGCATGATGCAACTGACAGAAAAGAGATTTTTCTGTAACCCCGCTGGACAAAAGTGGCAAAGGACTAACGTGCTGGACCTGTGAATTTAGCTCAGAGTTTTTCATAGTATTGCATGAAATAAGCACAAGTAGTCCTAGGAGGAGAGGAAAATGAAAAGATGATCAACTATTTGGACTGATGTGATATTTCCGACACCTGGATGTGTTCTTTTTGAAAGGTTACACTGTGAGTCATGAAGATGCCCCTCTGAGGCTATAGATGGCTGGATTATGCCGCTGCGCTTCAGGAGTCGTAGACAAAATCAACACCACCGGATTCAATTGAGCGAAGACAACTCTTTGCTTGATGATGAGCCCCATATCATTGCAAATCCCTGCTTCCTAGACACAGGTAAAGGCCAATGCAGTGAGCTTTGACAGCTTAACATGGGACATAACTTAAATGTTAAGGCATCTTGACATTTTACTGGTAATATTCAAATTTCTCTCTCATAATCAAGATTTTCCTGATTGCGCATGCGTATGTTTTGCCACAGTACGTGCTGAAAAGTAAAGCAGCAGGTTTCCTGGAACAGTGCCTTCATTCTTACAATGTTTTCATTCTCACACCACTCTGCTGATAACAGCACAAAAGGAAAGATGTACCAAGAAACACCTCCAGAATTTAGTTTTTCAGCCAACAACCCCCCCCTCCCTTAAAAAAGCAATAATGCTAAATTCTAGTCATGCACTTGTTTTGGGATTTGTATGTTGTATGTAACATAGGAAATGTAATGAGGAGTCACAGTGTAATACCCAGATATAGAGAGGGCTGTTGTCATATAACCATTGTTCAGTCAAATTGTACCATTGTTAATGTTAACTAACAATGGAACATAAGGAAGAAACACCCCCATTTTTGTTTCTTACCAACATTCCTTCCATTTGGCCACAAAGGGGCAGTGTTCCAGCCCCTAACCACAATGTAACTAGAGTGTTTCAGAGCTGAGCAGGTAAAATCTGGCTTGGTTCAGATGGTTGCTGTTTTATAGCACATTTGTTCTTTTAAGTCTTAACATTTAATCTTATTATAGCTCACATCAGGATCTTTCCCAGGGGCTCAATGTGCCGAATTTCTCAATGACGTGAGATGGCAAACATCCTTGGCAGTAAATGTGTAATTATGTTGAGATGCAGAGAATGCTGTTTTACATAATGTCCAATATACCATTTTCTGCCAGAGTAAGCTCCAGTGCTTTCAAAAGAATACAATTTCCTCCCCATAAATAGCTGTCAGCAATCTTGGAATTCAGCTTAAACTCTCCCACAGTGTGTAGGCTATGTAGTGGGCTGTGTAGCCACTGAAGGTCTGGTATGTAGTTATGTGGATACTCCATGTTACTAACACAGGTTATGTTGGCATTCATGTTTTCCTGTAGCAAGAGCCAGGCATTTTTATTTTGAACATTTTTGCAATCAAAGATCAGACCGAAGCCTGTACGCCCTAAGCAACAAACTGTGCTAGATGGTTCAATTTAATACAATTTGGTCATCAGTAAAATGTGGGTTAGTGAACAAAGTACTTTTAGTGATTGTGATTGCCAGACTTATTCTCTTATTCCATTAAATGTAAGAAAATACTCCCCCTTTGTGACTTGCCTTTCAGCAGAAGAACACCAAGTATCCATTTATGGCTGTTGTGGATTGTAGTCCTTGTGGATTACAGCAGTGTGTAATCAACTCAGTCGTATGCGCACGTGTTCACTTTTGACCGCTTTAGTCTCTCTGGAGAAATCAGGAGGGTGTGTTTAATACCCATGGGATCCAGTCCTTGTTTTCCATGTGTCCCGGGGGTTGGAAGGCAGCTGAAAGTTCAAACTGAGACACACTCCCTCAGGCTCTACATGGAAAGAGCTCAGAGATTAAGGGGTTTGTCAGCACCACCAACAACAAGGATTGTTCACAATTCGTAACTTGCCAAAGAAGAAAGATGATTAAGTTTTTGTTTTTTTTTTGGCAGCTTTTTCAGCTACTACAAATATGACTTAGTTGAAAAACAAACGGTGGATAACCTGCTTTTCTTGTGTTCATCTACTTGTACAGGACAGGTAAAACAAAGTGTGGCTAGACAGCAGCTACTATCTAAATGCCTGTGTGAGTCTGCTGAATAAAGGAGCCAGAGGATACAGGTGACAGCGAGGTTTTGCTCTAACTTGTTTGAAGCTGTTTTTTTTTCTCCCCCATGTCAAGGGTGAAGGACTATGCCTGGCTTAGGAATTTAGTCTGAGGGACTTTTTTAAGTTGAACTCAACAACTCCTGGGCAGAATATGAACTGTCGCCTGTGCTGTGTGCCTTTATTGTTGTGTGAATGAAGATGTATGTGTGAATTAGTTTGAGTGAAGTGTCATGCTATTCCTTAGCAGTGGGACAGTGGAAGCGACCCAAAGGAGTACAGCTATTGGCCAACAGCAGCAGGGGGAAACAGTTTACCACATCTCTGTAATCCTGAAAGAAACAAAAGGAGATGCCCTGGTGCCAATGGAGAACTGCCTCAGGCTGGGCAGGGCACAACAGGAGTTTGACAGGTGGCCCTCCCTGAGTCTTTCAGGTAGAGCCGAGAGGCAAGGAGAGGAGGTAGTTGTGGAGGAGAATGAGGAGGAGTTGGCGGCGGTGAAGGGAAAAATGAAGACCAACAGGTTTTTAAAACTATCCTCCAAGAACTCAGGAAACTCCTCACAGCAAGACAGAGACGTAGCAGAGTTTACTGCTCAGACAGAAACCCAGGAACAACACATTCGTAGCTCAACCTCGTGCTCTGTCACCCTCCATTCTAAAGGGCTTGGATTTGGGGAACATGGTACCATTCCAGGACATGGATCTCTACTTTGTGCCGAGTTGCGAATGCCACATGGGGATGGAGCCCTGGTCCGCAGGAAGACGGGGAGCAGGCAGGGG